GCTATTTCACTAAAATGAAAACCATTCTATTCACAAAGGATTAACTTAGATTTTGATATACAACATTTAATTTTCCGTACGATATTGACTTCGTATTTAAAGTTCCGAGGAGTTTTAAAAATTGTCGAAAAAACGACAAAAATTGCCGCATCAGACTAAATTGAAAGCAGTTGTCACTTACATGGAATCTTTTTAACTTCAGTGATTTTATCTTTAATTTTAGGCTGTTCCCTTGCAAATTTACTTTTGAAATAAAAATTACACTTAAAGATTGATTCTTATTGGAATGAAACAAAAAAGTAATAATTTACGTTGATGTCCTTTGCATGGGCTAATTGTGATTCAAATTCGTAATGAAATACTGTAAACATTGTCGATTAGATTTTTGGATCAACAAATGATTCAAAACGCTTATGATGGCATGATTTCTAGAGCATACACAACCATTCAGGCTCAAAGACACGCTTTTCCTGATGAGTAAACTCAGTCAATCCTTTGTACATAAATTCATTCTTTTAGCAAGAATAAAAATTATCAACACGGCAAACTAAATTGGAATTTGATATGCCGTTTTATGCTAATTTTTAACCTTTTCAGAAATGGTAGTTCAATTTCAAAACGCCAATGGTCCAATAGCTCTGTCAACGCGCGGAAAATTAAATGTTATATACTGTGATTGTGATTTTTAATAAAAAACGTTTTGCAATCAGGGATTGAATTACACGTTTTTACATTATATGAAGTTAATTAAGATACATATTCAAAATAAGCTATATAAGAAAATATAAAATTATTAAAACGTTAATTTAAAACTACGAATAAGTTCTAATTGCATATGGGATAAAACTATTTCTAAACCGTTCAGTTTTAGCTTTAATATAATAGGTATAGTTTTTTGGGGACACCCGGTATATTGTTGATATTTTTTTAATTATTTCGTTAAATATTACAACGCAGAGATTATAACGTATAAATATTCCGTATAATATTCAAAATATATAGACCATTCAGAGTTTGGGCCGCCTGTGGACTGATAACTAAATAAATATTAACCGCTGTCCAAACATACTGGCTCACTACCACATAATAATGCAAATTATGAATGCACCGTGTATAATGCTCGAACCACCGCGTATAATGATGTAAGCACCGCATATAATGCCGAAAGCACCGCGTATAATGCTCGAACCACCGCGTATAATGCTAGAACCACTGCATATAATGGTGTAAGCACCGCATATAATGCCGAAAGCACCGCGTATAATGCTCGAACCACCGCGTATAACGATTTAAGCACCGCGTATAATGCTCGAACCACCGCGTATAATGTTGAAAGCACCGCGTATAATGGTGAAAGCACCGCGTATAATGCTAGAACCACCGCATATAATATTGAAAGCACCGCGTATAATGGTGAAAGCACCGCGTATAATGCTAGAACCACCGCGTATAATGGTGAAAGCACCGCGTATAATGCGAAATGCACCCAACAAAATGCCGTTTGATCACTTAAGACAGCTATGGCTTTCCATAATAGCGCGCATGTCATCATTTTCAGGTCAGTGTGAACGCCTGAGTAGGCGTCTTGTTTTAATTAAAAAGCGTCAAGCATTTATTACAGCAATCAAAGTACATAGCGCTCATTCTTGCGCTGAAATTGATACACCATTATAGATTAGACAAAAATTTCATCACAGCTTGAAAGAGCATCACAAAATTAGTAATATTCCAAACTTTCGTTGCGAAATCTTGTAAAATGCGGATAATATAGCCTTGCGAAATTTGCAATTTTCAGTCATTTTGTATTACAAACGGGAAATTGATGCCCCAACACCCGATTGGGCTGTCAAAATGACTGAAAAACGGCAAACTTCGCAAGGCTATATTATCCGCATTTTACAACATTTCGCAACGAAATTTTGAAATCTTACTAATTTTGTGATGCTGTTTCAAGCTGTGATGAAATTTTTGTCTACACTTGTCTAGACCAAAATTTAGTCTATAATGCAAGTGGCATTAGGCCGTAAGGAACCCCTATCCATCTCAATTTCCCGGTGTTTTGTCACTACCTATATGCGACACAGATCGCGTAGGTAGTGACAAACTTCGAAGACCCGCTTGTATTTTTCATGCAGTTGTATGAATCCCAACTTTCTTATTATCGTCACTACCTAGTACCAGACGACAAAATCATTGCACGTTTTCCCATTTCTCTCGCGCTGCCTGCGGGATCAAATTTGGCCCTTTGGCCCCTTTGCGTTGCCTGCGCGCGAGAAAAACCGCACGTGTAACCTATATACTTTATATATATTGTCTGAATTTTCGAATGTAGGGCAGTAGGGGAGTATACTAAGTACAGCGGGTTTCCATATACATATAGCTACCGTTATCATACGCACTGACGCACTGTTTACTGAGTGGAATATATTCGGTATATTCTGTATAAATACCGCGACTAGCAGTCGACATGACAAGACAGACGGCTCCAGGTTCGCAGCTCCAGGTTCGCGAACCTGGAGCCAGCTCCAGGTTCGATTTCAACCTGGAGCTGGAACGATTAGTTTGTAAATAAACTGCTTTGGCTGCTTAACCACTAAGGGAAATCCATTTTTTTTGAAAGACCATTTTTACTTGTTATATTCCTTAGTACGTGAGGGAAAATGAAGACATTATTCCGTTCCACTCGTCCACAGTAGCTTGTGAAAGATCACTGTTTTTTCTGACAAAGGGGCTGGTCAGCGGTGGGATAGATCGCCAAGCTCGTTTAAAACCTTATTTTTTTACCTTTACAACGAAAAACTTAAAATTTTGATTGATGACCATTCTAGAGAATGTATTCAAAAGTAATTTTAAACGGTTAACGTATTTCCACATCGCGAAACCGCGATAAATAACTCGCGCAATGTTGGACTGCCAAATTTCACGCACCGCCCGGTTGTGTTAATTCAATCCTTCCGTGAACACAACAACTTTGGTATGCGTAAATTTACGCTCTAGAGGAGTAAGATACTGATATGTTAATGACATAATATTATTTTTTGCGCTTTTCTGAAGAATTAACGATATAAACATATTTAATTTCCGAAACACACAACGCAAACAAGATCGCTAAAGATGGTGTTATTATGCGGCTCAAGTCGCCGAAAGGCCATAACATGTCAAATACGTCTAGCATCGTCTAAATTGCTTCGCAAATTTCTTGCTAATTTCGCCCTGCAACGATTTTTTAAAAGATGACCCTTCTAGACTAATATTCATACTATCATATTTTACAGCATATGAGGCTTTAGGATATATATCCACCATGAGCAACTCATGAGAACGTTACCGACATAAGAAATAAACTTTCAAGAGATGTGAAATATTAGGCGTAAACAATAATGCAAGTCCTCTGGCACGTGCCGGACATTTGATAATCTCAGGGGAAAACCGTAACTATAATGTCGACATGCAAATGCATGCGATCTAATGAGGCCAGGGGGGAGGAGTTTAATAGTGCACAGGAATAGAAACTAGGCAATTTTCTTGGCAATTGCGTTGTATTTTCTCAATACATGAGCAAAAAACGTCGCTTTTTCACAAAGATAAAATACTTTTATAAGCATGCGTAGGTTGCGCTGATTATGTTAATAAGGAAGGCTTAAAACACACCCCTCCTTCTTGAGAATGTGGGCGCACGTCATGTTACGTAAAATAATTATTGTTAGATAAGTATGAACATCGCCCGAACATATACAATAAATTAACTTGTAATAATGAAATGTATTATTTTCAACTGCAACTTTGTTGTTAGTATGTTCGTCCAAACGATATTGAGTTTCGCTCGATATTGAGTTGTCATTTATAAAGTATTAAAATATACCTTATTCAGCTCGACGTTAGTGTTTCACCAGTGTTTCGGGCATATACCTGGTTATAAATCCTGTCCGTGTGCAAAAAGCTCGTCAAAGTATTGCGTCTGTGAGTTTTGTTATAGTTAATACGGTTTTTCCCTGAGATTATCAAATGTCCGGCACGTGCCAGAGGACTTGCATTGTTGTTTACGTCTAATATTTCACATCTCTTGAAAGTTGATTTCTTATGTCGGTAACGATGCTAGTGTTCTCATGAGTTGCTCATGGTGGATATATATCCTAAAGCCTCAAATGCTATAAAATATGATAGTATGAATATTAGTCTAGAAGGGTCATCTTTTAAAAAAATCGTTGCAGGGCGAAATTAGCAAGAAATTTGCGAAGCAATTTAGACGATGCTAGACGTATTTGACATGTTATGGCCTTACGGCGACTTGAGCCGTATAATAACACCATCTTTAGCGATCTTGTTTGCGTTGTGTGTTTCGGAAATTAAATATGTTTATATCGTTAGTTCTTCAGGAAAGCGCAACAAATGATATTATGTCATTAACATATCAATATCTTACTCCTCTAGAGCGTAAATTTACGCATACCAAAGTTGTTGTGTTCACGGAAGGATAGAATTAACACAACTGGGCGGTGCGTCAAATTAGACGGTTCAACTTTGCGCGAGTTATTTATCGCGGTTTCGCGATGTGGAAATAAGTTAACCGCTTGTAATTACTTTTGAATACATTCTCTAGAATGGTCATCAACCAAAATTTTAAGTTTTTCGTTATAAAGGTAAAAAAATAAGGTTTTAAACGAGCTTTGCGATCTAACCCACCGCTGACCAGCCCCTTTGTCAGAAAAAACAGTGATCTTTCACAAGCTACCATGGACGAACGGAACGGAATAATGTTTTCATTTTCCCTCACGTACTCAGGAATATGACAAGTAAAAATGGTCTTTCAAAAAAAATGGATTTCCCTTGGTGGTTAAGCGGTCAAAGCAGTTTATTTACAAACTAGTCGTTCCAGCTCCAGGTTGAAATCGAACCTGGAGCTGGCTCCAGGTTCGCGAACCTGGAGCTGCGAACCTGGAGCCGTCTGTCTCGTCATAGCAGTCGACTGTGATAAAAATCAATATATCGATAATACTTACGATTTAGCTTTATAGTCTCCCAGCGCTTCCAATCATGACTCTGTCGACTTAAACTTACTTGTGAATACGTAGCGAAGAAGGAAGGGGCGACTGCCTGTTTGTGTGACAACTTCTAGTAGAATATTTCATTACCCTACGGTTGTACACACTGAGGCAAGCTGTAGAATACGAAATTCTATATGTTATTATGTTGACACAAACTGACAAACCCCTTGACACGACTCGTAGCGTGCGTAGGAGGCCCGTTGCGCAGGCTATTTGAGGAGATTACACCTCGCATCATGATTGGTTATTTGAAAAGAATTTGTATATTGATGTCAGTACAGTATATTTGATTTTCAGGGTATATAATCGATTATGCCCGTTTATAGGGTTTTTATTTCGGTTATCTATCATATTCAAATCGGCCAGAGACTCTGAGTAGCCTGTGGGAACTGATTTTATGCTTAAAAGCATTGAAATTTGCAAGAATATATTATTTAATGCATGACTAAGGCCTAAAAAATACCTGTGGTTCCGGTTTCATATCGTGAAAACTAGGGTCGGTAGGTCGGAAATAAATTTTTTTTTGAATATTTTTTTCATGGTTTTGGCGGTTTTTTGCTGGGTGATTTGCAGTAGAGTCCCAACATCAATATTAACTAGAGATGCGTCAGTTTCCTATGGACGAATTTAGGCAATTCGGTTCAATAATTAGTGTGACAACAGACGCCATTTTTGCACGCTGTATGAGCAGCCCGCAACCACCGGGAGAAAATAGGGTCGCACCTGCCTCGTACCCAGGCGCTTTAAATAATTACAATACATGAAGTATTCAGGTAGGCAGGCGATGCGCGAAGGGGCTTCCCATCAGCTCCTTCGCCATCTCTCCCCACTACAATACTTCATGTAAACTCGTCATATGCGCATCACTGGTTTTTTACAAAGAGACGCCTGGGTACGAGGCAGGGGTCGCACGGTCAATCGCGTTGAAAAAATAATAGGGTCGGCAGAAAAAATAGGGTCGGTCGGGAACCGGAACCACAGGTATTTTTTTAGGCCTTATCATATTCAACCATATATGAATGGGAGCACGGTTTGTCAACATTTGTGAACAACGTTGCTTGACAAACTGGGTGTTTAAAACTGGATGTTGATGTTAAAAAATTAAAACAGAATGGATTCAATGTGAAACGAATGTCCACAACATAGGCATTGACCAGGCCAGTCGGGCAATATTCGCTGCCGGGAAATATTATTGACTTATTATAGAAATAAATAGGAGAAATTCTCTCAATATTCGGGGAAATATATGCTACTAATAATAGTCGAAAATGGAGGAAAAATATAAAAGTTATAATAAATTATAATACATTCCGAATCTTTTTCGTCGTCACGCCCCCCCCCCCCCCCCTGTCGACAACAATCATGGAAAGTTTGACAAGTTCGGCACGATGGGAAAGAAGTTGGGCAAATTTCTTTTCCGCCTCCCTCCACCCCCGAGCCCCCAGCCCATTATTTTTTTCCTTCCCGTTCGCCTATGGTCCACAAGAACGGAAAACCAACGGAAACGTTCTAAAGTGGGTTAACCTTTTTGCAAGCAGGCAAATCGCATTTACTATGATGGAAATTTACTGAATTTTATATTTTTATGTACTGTATGGTATAGTCACTACTTGGTACGTCTTTTCAAGTTATTCCCAAATATGAACAACGGAAGTTAAACAACGAGCACATAATCTCTAGAACTTGCTTGGGCAATGTTTTGAATCGCTGTGGTTTAGCAGACAGTCCTAGGATAGGCTAAGTCGGAATTAGCAGTTTTCACATGTCAGTACTACATAATCAAAATTGCTGGTTATATAAATATCGTTCTTTTCTGCGACTCCACACTTCCTAGATTTGAGCCTGCGCAGCCGGGGATTTGTGTCGACTGGTGCATAGTTTACCATAATCCCGGGATATTATTAATAATTTGCCAGGCAATCCAATGTCACTTTAGAAATTGATGATTTTGCAAGTGTACCAATATTGCAGCGATTCAATCTGTGCATGTGTTTCCTAGTGTTCAGTGTTAAAGATGCGATACAGTCCGTATGCAAACAAAGGCTTTGTTTACATTTCGGTATCGAAAATGTAGAATTTTATTTGACAACTATTTATTTCAGTTCATGATTCCAGAGTATAATAAATTATCAAGACACAACGATCAAGCTTTGCAAGAACATAAAGTGAAATAAAAACCTAAATAAACTGTTTGTATAATAAAAGGGGGCTCCTGCCTTTGTGCACATGCGCAGATCGGGCTGTACAGCATCTTTAATATTCACATAATGGCATTGAATTAAATTGAAATTTTACAACCTCTGAATCCTTCCTCTCCATTTGTTTTCTATTTACCTGTTAGGGTTTTCCACTGATATGAACTCTAGTAGGAACACTCGATTGGTGACAATCTTCTTACCAAACAAGTTGGAAATTGAAGTTTCCACTTATAGTGTGGGTAAAAAGTGAATTAACGCTTGAGGGTGACAAATTGAAATTGATATACCTGCAAATGCGAGTTTCATTAACACCAACCATTAATAATGACGGGGGGGGGAGGCAGAAGGTGAGCAGCTGAATTCCTCACCCTCAAGTTTAAATCCCTTCCCCCTCCCTCCTAACATGGTAGTCCAACAACCGCAAGGCTATCGACAATCTAAGCATACCACGAAGTGGAAACTTTCCAACCAACCAAGTGTTCCAGCCGGTGAGTTTTACATCCGAGTGGAAAACCCACCAAAATATAACCCAAACAGGTTAATAGAAAAAATGGGGGCAGGGGGAGGGTTTCCGAATAGTCGTAAGGCTCTCACAGAGGAGAGTGGATCCGGTGGTCGATGAGATCAAATGCTTTCCTGTAGTCTAACAACTCGATCCTCGCCGCTGCACCTGCCCCGTCCGTGACAGAGGCCCATGTACAAATCATGGAAATAAGAGCATGCGTAGTAGGTGATTGTGGGATAGCGCCATGTTGCTTGGGAATCTTGGGATCGATGATCTCAAGGACGGCAGAGCCAATATAATATTTTACGATAAAACCTCAGCTAGCTTTGATAGAAAAGGAGTGAGCAAGATGTGCTTGGTAATTACAGTCACAGGTTACATAACTTACATTGGCGTCTTTCTATGATAGAGGGAGGGTTTGTTCAGCAAATGAGCTGTACATGATAACACAGAATGGGTTTGCGAGAAACTCGGCATAATCAGTTAAGGAGCCAGTTCGGCACGCCATTTGGACCAGAAGCTTTTGGACGGTTTTAGCCTTATACTAATGCTGAGTAAACTGAAGAGTCATCAACGGCTAGAATTTCCGAATGATTATCAACAGGAAGAAGACTGTCAAGTGATTGATATTCCTGCATCGGTTCTAGAAGAGCAGTATTAATAAAGTCGGCAATGTCGATCCTTATTTCGCCATCCATCATGTCCATCAGCATGAAGTTGGGCGCGAATATCCTCGGTTGGCGTCACTGGGATCATTCCTGATATAACTTTTTAATCCTCCTCACTTATATAAAAATATGACTGTTTTCCAGGGGTGGAAAATAAGCAAGATTTTAATTTATTTGGAAAGTCGTTTCATACAATGTTCTTTCAATATCATGCAAAATATTTCCAGTTAAAATCAGTCAAACATGGTTGACAGTCTTTGTTGTGAAAGTGGAGATCAATAATAATTGAAGAAACGTGAGTCACTTAGCTGAGACTGGGAAACGGGTTGTTCTTCTTGCAGACAGGCTGACACCCGGCAATCTTGGGGGAAGTGCGGCAAGGTTTAACACTTCTTCCATCTCTTCTTCCATCTCTTCTTCCATCTCTTCTTCCATCTCTTCTTCCATCTCTTCTTCCACCTCTTCTTCCATCTCTTTCTCCATCTCTTCTTCCATCTCTTCTTCCATCTTTTCTTCCATCTCTTCTTCCACCTCTTCTTCCATCTCTTCTTCCATCTCTTCTTCCATCTCTTCTTCCACATGCTGTTGCTCCTCGTCTCCAGTTTCTTCATATCCGTTAGCAATGCGTGATAGTCGAATGCTCTCCTCCGGAGGGACTAGAAACTGTTCGCGTTGAAACAAAATTCAGCGGGATTCGGCCATGATACGCTTCTTGTCACAGGTATCACATTTGACATAACAAAGTGGATCCTCTGTTTGGTTAAGCCATCGAATGCTCAATCATATTGTTTCTCAAGAACCTTACACTGTCAGCTTTGACGCAAACGTCCTCTAGAAGAATAGCTAACCAGTACGGGGATGGTTCTCTCCTTAAATTGTGCCTGATGGCTACGACGTCATCCCTGCGGTACAGAAACCTAACCCGTACTGATTTGCTTTGATTAAAGTTGGGCGCATTGACAGTCTGGCATTCTAACACGATGTTAGTTTCCTTAAACAGCCACGTACCATTGCGTATTAACGGTACTGAGATCGAAACTCTTGGGTGTGTGGATCACAGCAGATCTTACTTGGAACCTACACGTCGACAAATTACCTCGAAAGCTTCTAAGCGTCTGTATGTTCTTCGCATCCTAAGACGAACTGGTCTTAATCAAAATCACCTATGTATTGTACTGTTTATTGCTCTTTCGTAAGACCGATCCCGTGAGTATGCTTGCCCGGTATGGCACACGTCACTTCCAAAATACCTAGCAGATGTCATCGAAAGTGTCCAAAAAAGAGCTCTTGCAATCATTTTCCCTGAGCTAAGCTTCGCTGAGTCACTAACCAAAAGTGGCCTTAATCTTCTCTCGACAAGAAGAGATAATCTGTGTGAAACGTTTTTCAGGAAATTAACTATTAATAACGATAAACTTTCTGAACTCTTACCGAAAAGAGAATCGATAACTTACAACTTGAGACAAAAGCGGAATTTATCACTAGTTAAATGCCGAACTGGACGGTTTAAGCTACATTCTTTTGCTATTCAGCATTATTTATAACATACTTTATTGTATATAGTATAAATCTTTTTAATGTATGATTCAGCTTACTTTTGCAGCTGCAAAGTTTTCTTTAATAAAGCATAATATGTCCTCCACTTCTTCCGAGGCGGTAACGGCGGCTGGTCTCATGCTCAAGGAATATGGAAGGGTTCCTGTGATCTCTTTCGTTTTTGAACGAACGTTTTCTTGTCTAAAACCCCTGCCGTATTCGCTTACAAATTTTCGCATTACTTCCTCGCGCCTTTTGTCATCATCTTTCTCCGCACTTCTCTTACTCGCTACACTTTGCTTTGTTGCACGGGAGGACACGTTGGGCGGGTCGCTCTTGATAATTTTCTCAGGGTAAAATGAATTGGGTCCAGTGAAATACGAACAAATATGTTTACAACAAATATGTTTCTAAATTAATAAAACAATGGATTCCAGAACGACCTGGCCTCTAGATTCCGGATTCCTCAGTTATATATTTGAAATCCGGATTCCGCTGTCTGGATTCCGGATTCCAAGACTCCGGATTCCGGATTCCTATAACCCCCAAAAAGTCGGATTCCGGATTACCTCACAAGACTCACAAGGGGCGAGGCATTGATATTTCGTAAACTTGTAAACAGTGTAAAAACTTTCCGCCGTCAAAATTGAGACAAAATTGGGACAAGTTCTTGTTATAATTCACAAATAAAAGATTTTTTAAAGAGCACGCCGGCCCCCCGATTGAGCACCGCCCCCGAATTAATCAGCACCGCATCTGAAGCTCTGAATATTATAATTAAAGAGCGCCGCGGCGCTCAAACGAGTAAATACGGTAGGCTACAGCAATTTTCGTCCAAGCACAAACCGCAAACATTTTCGCGCGTTTGTTTACGTTTGAAACGGGGCGTTTACCGTTGGAAACTGAAATGTTTCACCGCTCATGTGACGTGTCACATTGCAAAGCCTTAAGCTATTTTTGGCGCAACTGTCATGTTTTGATGTGCCTCCGTGCACGTTTCAATATTTTCCAGCCCATGATAATACGTTCTAGTCACAAAAAGTAGGAATATAAACAAGTTTGGTCGCTCTTACAATATCGTGAGCTTGGAAACACTGAAAAGTACACGAAAGCACATCAAAACATGAAAAATAATTGAATTAGGCTTTTCACTATAACGCGTCGAATGAGCAGTGAAACATTTCAGTTTCCAACGGTAAACGCCCCGTTTCAAACGTAAACAAACGCGCGAAAATGTTTGCGGTTTGTGCTTGGACGAAAATTGCTGTAATACATGGGGACCAGGGCGTAATAAAACACATGTGTTACAGCGCCCTGATGGGGACATATATTACGCAATTTAAGAACAAACCAGGAACGAATGCGAAAAATGCAATATTATGCCGGCATGAATCGTTTAAAAAAGTGTTTTGCACCTCAACCCCCCGCCACCCTCCCTTGGAGGAATCCTGGCGCCGCCTCTGTAAATATTGTATTCAATTGTGACTTTACCTTCGATTTTGTGGAACATGTGATGTGTGTTGCATGTAGCATTATGTAGCCCACTTGAGAGTTTCTTTGATACAGGCGCGCAACGAAGAAAACTTGTCAGTTTGGTCCGCGGTCGCTGTCATCGCTTGTCGTATGTACGGTCAAGCGCATTTTCTGTTTACACTTGGACTCACGACAATTTTCACTAATTTTGTAAAATTTGACATTAATACCTATGATTAATACAGATTAACTTATTTAATATCTTCGCCATAAATATGGAAATTGTTCTAGGGTGTTGTAGTTAAAACGAGAAGAAAGCTGCCAGGAAGGTTATGTATAAAATCACTGAAACCCACTCGACTCAGCTAGTCGACTGTGCATGCAGCTGAAAACACCACTTGACACTTGTTGATATGAAGATGCCTGGATATTTATATGCTTGAACTCAAAGATTGCCACGCTTGGAGATTGACAGTGACTATCAGTGATGTTACGTGATTAAAGCACTTTGGTTTAAACAGAATGAGTAAATCAACAAATAAAAGGTATGGATATAAGGATATTTGCAGTTAAATATTTCTGTGACTCAGTGAAAACATTCTCGCATGCTTTTGAGCTGCTCAGGTCAGCTGGTCAGGCATATCAACTAGACAGTTATTCAGACATTCACTCCACAGGCTGACAATGTTTCCAGCAAAGCCCTGGTCAAATGAGAATGAGAATTGCCAAGTAAGAGTTTGCCTGAGAGTTTTCTCATGTCTGATCTGGTCAAATGGAGAACAAGTGTTGTGTTATGTGAGAGTTGACTGGATCCTATTACCATGCATGTAGGAGGGTGTTGATGGGGTATATCGTGAGTTGTGATTGCTCAATTTTGGTTACTGTCAGTCGTGAAAACACTAAAAATTTTACCGTGAAGTGTGAGCAAAAAATACTGTTTATCGTTTCAGAACACTTTTCAGCAGATTCAAAGATTTATTCCGTTAAAATACCAAAGTTTTTACAGTTAAAATACCAAAATTTTTACTGTTTACTGATTTTCAGACCCCCCATCTAGAACCTCATGTAGTGAATCTAATACCATTGATTTATTTACAACAGTTTATGAATGTTTAAATTTTCATTTATACAACTGCCGCTTGTGTGGGCGGTGGTGATCTACTCTGATCACACATACTTTGATATAAATTTTTGATATCTAATGTGAAATATAAAATATCGATATTTTTGAAATGTCAATATTTATTAAAAATATTGATATATTGCATCAGCCTAGTTAAATGCTCTGTCGATGCCAGCTTTGACATGCATATCCCCCATTCCCCGGACAATGTAGGACATCTGCACGCTTGTAACTTGTCCCCACAGCTTGGAATTTGCAAACTCGTACTCAGCGACTTTCCTCTTGGGGAGCAAAGACCCTGGTAGACGCTGGTCACATGATCTGCTTAGCAATTTAATTAGCAATCCAAGATGAGGTCAATAAACATTTGATATTTTGTTTTTATTTTGATAGTTTAATTTATAACTTGCATTTTGTATGATTGTCGTAAAGAAAACCAAGATAGTTAAATCTTAGAAATCTGCGAGATCTTAGCAGGTCATGTGACCAGCGTCTACAAGTGTCTTTGCTCCCCAAGAGGAAAGACCCTGGGTACGAGATTGGGGAATTTGTAGCTGAATGAATGTTCACTTAGGGTTCTATCTCACTGGCATTTGTCATCATTGGATCATTACTCCCAGACATTTCTTCTTTTTTAAATGTAAGCACGGTCTCTTCGACCTAGATATCTCCTCTTTCGTCACTTTTTCTTCAAACAGCTCGTCTCACACCCGTTCAAGTTCGGACAACTTGCTTTGTGTCAATCATTGCAGGACTTCTCTCTTTAGGAACTCTTTTTTCAACCGAATTGTCTTTCTCTGGAATAATCTCTCTCCCACCATTCGTAATAGTTCATCCGTTTCCTCCTTTAAAAACAGACTAACTGTTCATTACTCTTCTCTACTTCATTCATCTTTCGATGTAAACAGAATGCGCACTTGGAAAACCTTCTGTTCTAAGTGCTGCTCTTTCAACTTAAGCTGTTGTTCGTAATTCGTCATGTTTTCTGTAAATTTTATATTTGTTATCGTCTTTGATTTATGTTTGTTATAGTTTGTTTTCATTAAGGTTGGTCTTCATATGGGGCTATTCATGTCCTGTTGACCATACCTTCAACCATATTATGTAGTGTTTTAGTCTGTTTTATGTATGGTTGTAAAGTTAATAAATAAATAAATAAATAAATTTGTCATTAACAGAGAAAAGACGGTGGCCATTTGAAAAACAGCCAGTATTTACATTTGTTTACATTAAACACCAAAGCTATACATACATGAACTTGCAAAACGTAGAGCTTGACGTCAGCTCTGTAGCTCAGTCAGTTAGAGGACTTCACCGGAATTGCATGGCTGCAAGTCCAATTCCTGCCAGCGGATCAGTAGTCATTTTTAGTAACTGCTCCTAGCTGGCTAATGTACTGTAGGTCTAATACAGTACCGGTAAATGTGTAAAAATTCACACTAAAAATTTCCATGTACAAAATCCTTCTATAACTTAACAACTACCTAGGTGTCAGTGAAATATATAAACAGAACTTCATTACTTCAACATTTTGAGTGAAGGCCCCTTGTTGGGAAGTTCCTAGCCCTTGATGTGATTTCTCCAATACATTAACAGACATCAGGGGCTGGTTGTTTGAAAACCTGTTAACTTGATCCCAGGATAACAAAATCTTCAAACAGTTCAAAGCAACTTGGAAATATTTTTCTGGAAATATTGTCTGGATCAATAGAATTTTCATTTTCTGAATTAGTTTTGAAATCAAATCAAAACAGCAGCCACCTTAAATCTTAACCCAGGATTTGTGTCAATCCAGCTTTGAACAACTGACCCCAGGTGTCTAAATGAAATCAGAAAAATGTCCTACCAAATTTGAAAATTTCTGACATTTTAACTGGACGATTTTTGAACATTATGTCAGGCTCTGAATGGAAGATAACAAGTAATGAGTGTGTCATAACCTTTCTGATTAATGTTTTTTATCAGTGAACATGATGATTTTCTTGGCCTGATTCTCAGGCTATAACAATGTAATAGAAATGATCATCTTATTTTTCCTACTGTATAGTGGCTCTAGGATTTCCCAGGTGACAGAGCAACTAGAAAAGTTGGTAGCTGTAGATAAATCTGCCAGAGACATGGAACAACTTCGTTATGTCACTCTTAAGATGTGCCAACTTTTGCAAACACAAGGTTTGACATTCATTGTTTTATTACGGCCATTTAAACAAAATATCCAGTTAGCCTTTTCACCAAGTCTACGGTTTTATTCTGTCACAGATAAAGGCAAGAAAGAAATACTAAGTAAAATATGCGAAAAAGCGGCAGTGTTGCTGAGTCTTTTAGAGGTAAGCTTGGTTAATTCTTTACAGTTAACTGTTTTTAAAGGTACTTGAGTAATTCCATGCCATTTCAACACAAAAAAAACTGATTTGACACCCACCCTCTCCAAATTTCTTTATATTTCGCAGGCAGTTAACATTGTGTGGGAATAGTTTAAGTTCAAAATTTGAGCATCGTAGCTGCAATAGTTTTTGAGATATCGCAATTCGAAATATGGCCCGAAAAGCAAAAAAGTGGGCGTGGCCAATGCTAAATTCACCATTACCATATTTTACATTTTGACCTGTAACTTCATACCTGTACATGGTATATCCATCAAAATTTGCACAAAGATGTATTTGTATGCGGAGATTTCAAATATTGCACTTTCATCTTTGTATCTGCAACCAGCAATGTGTTATGGCACAGCAAAAAGTCTAATTATGTGTTTCTGAAGACACGAAATATACGTCATCTTTATGGGAAAATTTTTTATGGAAGCCATACAGATACAACAGTAATTTTTATTCCACATCATATCCACATGCTATTCTACTTTTAAGCAAAGTAGAATAGAGCCCTTTAAAGTAGAATAGAGCCCTTTTAGAGCCCTTTAAAGTTGTCGTATTTTCTAAATAACTTTAATAGTAGGTTTTGGGTGTTTGTTAAGAATAAAATACATTCATTGAGAAATGAGACTGCCAAATACTTTAATGTTTCATTCGATCCTTCTTTATTGATAGTGCATATTTAAAATTTGTTTTAAAAGTTTAAAAATTACATATTTATTAATAGTACATACACAAAAAGTATATGAATGGATCAAAAGTATGCAATACAATTTATTTCTTACTGTATCTACCCCTGCTCGTGAACCAATTGTACTTTCAGTGAACTCTTTTATTGTATGCTTGTAAGATGATGAAAAATGGCTTGATTTGATTGAAGAAGTTGACAATGATCAAAGAAATGAAAAAATTAATAAGGTTTATGCACCCAAAGTGCATCGCAAGATCATATTTCTGGCCAGTAAGAGGATACTTGTTAGCGATTGACCGATAATTGCGTCGTGTACTCGTGTCAGCCATACGTTTCAACGGAAACTCTTAAAAATCTTTATCGAGCTTTAGTCCAACCACACTTTGATTACTGCTCGATGATTCGGGGTAACTGTGGCGAATCTTTAAGAGGCAATCTTCAGAAACTCCAAAACTGAGCTGCAAAAATTATTACGGGTGACTCATATGAAATACGCTCCATAGATATTTTAAAGAAACTAGATTGGAAAACGTTAGGTGAAAGAATGATGGAGCAACAACTAAAATATGTATCAAAAGCACTTACATGCCAATTTCACGAAAACATTTCGGACATGTTTAAACTATATAATTCAGATCGATATGAATTAAAAAATAACAAAAATAAGTTGATGTTGTCGAAGCCAAAAACAAATTCAATGAAACGAACTTTCGGTTATGCTGCCGCTAAAGTTTGGAATGAAAGAAATCAATTTTTTATATAATTTTACCTGGGTGGGGTTGGAGTGAATAATAAACTTTGAATGTCTTTCTAATATTATTTGGGTGGTTCGGGGAGGGTGGGTGCATGGGAATCTCTTATACTGTCTGTAAGTACACGGCCTAGTGAAAAGTAACGACAACCTTGCTAATATTTTTTTAGTTGATTAGCTACCGTGTTACATGATGTTTTTAATAAGAAAATAAATAAAAAATTATAATCGGAATTGGACCGATTTTTGCTTATCGGTAGACAATCGGAATCGGTAGAATAATTTATATTTTCCGATTGTGTAAAACCGATTGTTGAGAAAATACGCACTTTAAAAATCATATATATTGCGCGGTGATACACGTTGAATGCACTTTTTATGTGAAAACAACAACTGTTTAATCTCTTGCGCGAACGGTAGCGTGTTGCTTAGTAGGTGTGGAGCAAACCGTTAAATGATACGTGAAGCGTGTCATTTATGTACAGGTTTAACGAACTTTGGTTGCTACTAGTAACATGTTACGTTGGAAATTATCATTAAAATCTCGAAATGGATTATGACGTCATAGAAAATCAGAATCGGGTATATTATTGGATGAATAATTGATAATTATTGGTCAATCACTAATACTTGTTGGGTTTTCGGATGAGAACATTGTTTCTGACATTGGTGTTCCGAACAATAGTCACTGGGAGGCAGTACAAACTGCAGCTTAAAGACCAAGAAGTCTTACGCACTTCTCTATATATACTGCATCGATTTTGATCAAAGGCAATTTGATACAAGAAATAACACTTACTCTTGGAGAACATAATGTACTATTAAAAAAGAATGATAGAATCAAACATTAAAGTATTTGGCAGTCTCATTTCTCAATGAATGTATTTTATTCTTAACAAACACCCAAAACCTACTATTAAAGTTATTTAGAAAATACGACAACTTTAAAGGGCTCTACTTTTTAAAGCAGGCAACTAACCATCACCAAATTTTGCTTAAAAGTAGAATAGTATGTGGATATGATGTAGAATAAAAATTACTGTTGTATCTGTATGGCTTCCATAAAAATTTTTCCAATAAAGATGACATATATTTCGTGTCTTCAGAAACACATAATTAGACTTTTTGCTGTGCCATAACACATTACTGGTTGCAGATACAAAGATGAAAGTGCAATATTTGAAATCTCCGCATACAAATACATCTTTGTGCAAATTTTGATGGATATACCATGTACTGGTATGAAGTTACAGGTCAAAATGTAAAATAGGGTAATGGTGAATTTAGCACTGGCCACGCCCACTTTTTTGCTTTTCGGGCCATATTTCAAATTGCGATATCTCAAAAACTGTTGCAGCTACTATGCTCAAATTTTGAACTTAAACTATTCCCACACAATGTTAACTGCCTGCGAAATATAAAGAAATTTGGAGAGGGTGGGTGTCATGCCTGTGTTGAAATGGCATGGAATTACTCACTTTAAAGAAAAGGGGATTATTAAATGATATAGGCAAAAAGTAGTGTCTGGCCACTGTTACAGTAAATAGCCTCAGAGCACAGACCTTTGTTTTTCTGCCCTGTGTTTTGCTAGAATATGGGCAATCCCTGCACCTGCAATTGTTAAGCTCAGCAAAGCCATGACCAGTGCGAAGAGTTTCTCGGCTCACATTTAGTAAAGAATGGCAAGAGCTTGATAACAGAACTCGAAACATTGGGCAGGAGTGACAGCAGAACTGGAAACATTGTTTTGTGAGAGAGAGAGATGGGGTGGGGCGCTTATAATAGAGGATTGACCAGTTCACCCGCGGTATCAAATTTTGCCGTCTGAGGGTGTCTTTAGAGTGTACTGTCTTTTGAAAATTGTCGTCTTCATGGCAACCCTTTCACATTCAGCAACATTTCACTCCTATAACTATGTTCATTTACAGTTTAGAATTACGTGTACAGTAATTATCTGTTTTAAAACAGCATGTCAGATTTCTAATAAGTAAATAATCCAGGGTTTGTGTTAATGAAAATTGATTATGATCATTATAATTATATCTCAGGGCTGCAACGACACTCAACTGATATTGAATATCTTGGGTTGTTTCCTGGAATTATCTGCTGGAGGTAAGACGTTTCTTAGATGTACATACATATACTGTACGATTAACATTACGATTGCGATTAACATTCTAGAGTGCAAATGTACTGTACATGTGGATATAATTATGATCAAAATTAATGCGCTTAATTACATCAAGTATTACGCTTATCTAATTACATACTTAGCCTAGACTATTTTATTTTTACAACAATTGTGATATTACTTTCTTAACTGTGTTTATCCTAACCCACCCTGTCAACTTTCCTGTGAGAGGAAACTGGAGCACTCGGAGAAAACCCACGATTTTCGACAGAGCGTTGACTGACTCTTTTCACATGAGTCCGTAGCGAGAATCAAACCCACGATCTCAGAGGTGAAAGGCGCTTGCTGTGACGACAGCACCACTGAAGTACCTTGACTAGCTACGTTGGTATTTTAAAACAGTTTTCTCCAATTCTCTTCAATTTTCTGTGGGCATCTGTTACCCGCCCCACTCCCCCCCCCCGCCCGGATTCACAATTTAGCCTGTACAATGCCTTTGATTTTTAAGAATGGACCGGACTGCAGTGTGTTAAAGATGGTACGTAACATGTGTGTTTACGTACTGTTTAATAAACGAGCAGGAGTGTTTTATTAAGTTTAAAGCCACGAGCGCGCAGCGCGAGTTGCTTTAGACCTAATAAAACACGACCTGCGAGTTTATGAAACGGCTTCAAACACGACTACAAATTCAATAGATATACTGCCTTGTTAGTATTCTTTATATAAAGAATACTAATGACGACACGACTACAATAGATACTGCCTTTAGTTATTAGTATTCTTTATATAAATAATACTAATTAGGAGTGTTTTATCAGGTTTAAAGCCACTGCACGTGACATATGATGGTTGACATGATTTGCCAATAAGCTTATGAATTATTAATGAGTGTTTGAAGTAATTCTTATTCAATGTTTTTCTTGTACTGTGAAACGAATTCCATGCTATCTGTTTGTGTTTTTCTTACGTTGTTGAGTTGCCCACAGAAAAAGAATTATTTCCACATCGCAAATTCGACCAGGACAATTTTACTGCACTTAATAAATTTTCCATGATATGACTGAGTTTCAAAATTCAATTCAAGGTTGAGTTTTGGGCTCCGGTATAAAGTTTAACGGAAAAAAATCCCCTGGAAGTATTATATATAAAAGCAGCTTCAAGAAAATGGAGGAAGTGGAAATTAAATGTATTTAAAAAAAAGAGAGCGAACTTTGGTTTAATTAAGACCAACCTATTACGCAATTGCGAACTCATTATTTAACAATTAGACAACGAGGCCGAGTTGTCTATGAGCGAATAGTCAACGAAGCGAAGCCGGGTTGATTATTTGCTCATAGACAACGAGGCCAAGTTGTCTAATCGCTTTAGTATAAACTTTAACATTAATTTACAACTAGGCTGCAAACACAATACAAAAATACACAAAAAAAACATTATAAAACCATTAAAGGTAAACAAATATTTTAGTTTTTGTTCGCGTAAAATGTTTTACAAAATTCAGTTTTAATTTTAAAATTTTATTGAGTGTATGTTATTTTGTCTATTTTCTTACCCTTAAAAATTGCCATTCCATATTTTTGTTGTTTTTTCGGGTTTTTTTAGTACAGAATTGTTCAACAAGTCGTCCAAAAAAATCATCAGACACTTCGGCAAAAGTGCAAAACGCGAATTTTCCGCCATTTTGAATTTTCTATTAGTAGGCTATCACTAATAGCCTACTAGTAGCGTAGCCAATCAAAAGCCACGATATGTGATAGCCTACTATGGTAGGTTTATACTAAACAGTATTTATGCTTTGGTGCATGGCGTAGTCATCAGAGCAAGTGTCTTTCGCCTCTCAGACTGAGTTCGATTCTCGCTACGGACTCACGTGAAAAGAGTTTTCTCCGGGCGCTGCGGTTTCCTCCCACTAGGAAAGTTGACAGGGTGAGTTCGGTTAAGCACAGTTAAGAAAGTAATCACAATTGTTGTAAAGATTAATAGTCTACTGGCTTAGCAAGTAACGTAAGTAAGCGTAATACTTGATGTTATCGGTCACTGAAAAGCCCCAATGAGGAGTGAGCTGAATAATAATGTAACGTAACGTAATTTATTTTTTTATCAGTAAGAATGAAGCAATCTGATTGGCTGAGGAGCCTTTCAGAGCGGGCCGGTTTTTTGCATCCGGTCCGCTCTGAAACGCAACTGCCCGCTGTGAAAGCAACTGCCTGCTCTGGTTTTCGCGGCAAAAAATGAGGAGTGAAACAATTTTTAGACGAAAAAGTCTGCCCAAAACGTTTGAAAAACGTAACCTAACGATAGTCAGATACGAAAATGAATTGCATCAAGCCGTAAAGACTTCATACTAAGCACGATGTACACGTCCAGAATTGATAATTTTTTTAGAGAAATGCGACTGAAAGTCGGAAAGTTATTTGACATGTATAAAACTTTAATACGCCGAGAAAGCTATGTATTTTTTTAAAAATGCTCATGTATTCGGCCACTTAAAAGCGAAAAAATTACAGCTTAAACAGATATTGTAAAAGAAATGTTTTCCCATTTAAAAAAAGGTTTAACTGCAGCAGTGAAAACAATCTCGATCATTTGTGTTAGGCATTTTTCACTGATATAAAATATTGTAATTAAACAAACTAAAAGTCTGTGTTTAAAAAGACTTTTTTCAAGCATATTATCGTGAAACACCAGAAAAAATACTAAAATATAAAAATAGCATACCTTATTCATTGTCCTTTTAGTAGAAAAACGTTGATTAAATCAAAGCAGATTCTTTTTTATCTGTTTTTGATCGGATCTGAACATGAACCTGTCGTTGTCAGAAGCAACTGAAGTTGTCAAAGCCAAAACGCCAGGCTTAACCAAAGGCTTTTCTGCTACCATATTCATGAAAAAAGCATGTAAATTTACTAAAACTATACGTCTTTTTGTGTGTTTCTTGCCACTTTTCTCGAGTTTTCGTATTCGGTCGTGTTTTATATCCTTCAACATTTCAATTTTTGTCAGCCTCGCTTTAAAAATACACAACTGCACTGATCTCAAATTAGTTCGTAAGTAACACTGGAATTTTAGTGAATTTCATTTTTAAATCTGATAAAAAATAAACCGTCACGTTATTTACCGGCTGCGAGGTCCGGATGAGAAAAACTGTGCCCTCGGTCTTGAAAACGTCCATCGCCCTTGAAAACGTCCCTCGCCCTTCGGGCTCGTGCCGTTTTCAAGACCTCGGGCACAGTTTTTCTCATCCGGACCTCGCAGCCGGTAAATAACAGGTATTAAACAGCGCCAGGCCACAGAGTAGAGACATACAGAGACGTAACTAGTGTACCCACTTTTTTGTGCGCATGCTCGGCAAGTTACTAGATGCATGCATCTGATTGGATGACGACCAATGACGACCTGATGACGACTCACTTTAAACTTGCTGAGCACGCGCAGTTGATCATTTTTCGCCCGGTCGCCTGAAAAAAAGTGGGTACATGATGACGTAATCTTCCGCAGTGTTTACAACGGTCAGTTACGTCTCTGTATGTCTTATCTACTCTGTGGCCAGGCTGTCACAGAATTAAGGATTCTAGCAAAATACAGTAAGCCCGAATGAAAAACATCTGTTAAAAACTCAATATTTTTTTGAACTGGACATTTAAAAAATTCACTATTAGTGGTACTGTACAAATTTGGCTACATTTGTTAAATATCCTCTCCAAGAGGCCATTATTTTCTCATAGCTAACCTTGAGAAACACCTATACAGTAATGTAGTAAGTTGTTGCTTGATATAAGACATGCTGTATTTTTCATCTTTTTACGACGAGGTTATTGTTTCATGCATGATTCTGCATGCTATATATTAACGATCTACCATCTTGTATAAATGAAACTAGACCCCGGATGTTTGCTGACGACACAAATATTACAGCATCTGGAAAGTGCATTCGGATTTAGTAAAGACTTCGAAAGTGGCTTATGGCAAACAAACTGAGTTTAAACGTAGCGAAAACTGAATTTCAATTAATTGGCACTAAGCATATGCATTAAAAAAGTTGGTGATTACCAGCCAGTAATTACTACTGTGGATAAATAATAGTAATAAAGCAAGTTTTCCAGCGCAAAACTCTAAGAGTTACTGTTGACGAAAACCTTTCTTGGAAAAGTAACACTGAGAGTATATGTAGTAAAATATCATCTGGGATATATGCTCTCAAACATATTAAAAAGTTTGTTGATCAAAAAACACTCATATCGGTATACAATGCTTTGATCCAAACCTATTTCAGTTACTGTTATATGAAGTATGGGATGTATTTGGCGAAACCCAATCTAAACGTCTGCAAAAGCTTCAAAATGGAGCAGCTCGCATCATAGCAAGTGCAGCGAACGATGTTGATCAGCAAACTGTATTGGATTTATTGGGATGGGAAACATTAAAAGAACAACAATTAAAAACGAAAACGAAAACGATATGTTTAAGATACTTAATAATATGGGGCCAAATTGCTTCAAAGATATATTTATTTCAAAAATGAAATATTAAATCATAATCTTCGTGATAGCTCAACCACATTACGATTGCCAAAGCCACGTTCGAACAGTTTGAAAAAGAGTTTCATGTATGTCGGAGCTTTCATGTGGAACTCTTTGCCAGAAATTATCAGAGAAAGCAAAACGCTATCAATTTTCGAAAGGAAAATCGCTACCCATCGCTATTAAAGCATGGTTGTAAATAGTAAATTAACGTTTTTTATAGTATATATTTTTTCATATATGCATGTAATTTCCTACTACCTTTAATTATTTTTTTGTAAATTTACTTTTATCCATACGTCCATTGTGGAAACCAGTTAAATAAAGTTTATCATCATCATCATCATCATCATCATCATCATCATCATCATCATCATCATCATCATCATCATCATCATCATCATCATCATCATCATCATCATCATCATCATCATCGTATATGTAAAGTGACCAGTTGTTTTGTCTTAGGGAAGAAAAGTGTAGCGATGTTAGCCGGACATGGTGCTGTCGATGTCTTACTCAAGATTCTGAAGATAGAGATATCAGAACCATCAGTCATGGAAGAAACTCTTGTCTTAGTACACTCAATACTTGCTAGAATTGCACCCAAAGGTAGGACCTTACGTCACGACCAAAGTCACGAATTTTTTCTAGCTGGGAAGTCAGTGATCATTATATGAGCCCAAAATTATACTTCGATCACCATTTCAACATTTCAAATATCTATATTAATTAATTGTTATTTCGTCACGTAATAGCTTGCTTATATGAACCCAGCTAACTGGGAAACTCACCTGAGTGATATCCGCATGCATGCCCTTTGTTACTAACACTCGAACGCACGTAAAATTCAATTTGCCTTCATATCAGAAGCGATCCAGCCCAGTTACAGTAGTTGAGATTTCTCCTTGCCTTACCAGCTTTACTTATTTTGAAATAATTGAGGAGAAAGTGTAACCTTTATATTTACACCAATAAATGGTTAGACTTTCGCGTCTTCTCGGATAAGGACGTTAAATCGTAGGCAACCCTATCAATTTGGGCAAAAGCTTGTTGGGAAATTCGCTCACCAATGAGTGAGACACTCAATAAATTAAGCTAGGTGGGATCTCTGTCGAGTGGGAAAATATCTTCCATATGAAGGCTTCACCTGCATGACCGACATCGTGAACATTTTTCACCGATTTTGAATTATAATATATATAGTATTTATTATCAATTTTCAATTTATTATCAATTTATTAAAAGATACCAATTTTGCAGTTAAGAACTGAATTACACTGGTTTACATGCATACGAGTAAAATGTCTACAAACACTCATTATTTACAAGCTGTTAATTGTAATAGTTCTAGGTAAGAATATAGCTTAAATATTATTATTTAAAACTGGAGTTGTAGGCCTTACTACCGGCCATAATAAAACTATTAGCAAACCTACTTGTCCTATGCTTTGGTATTGAAAGACAATTATCATTACGTAGAGAATATCCTGTTTTATGTCTTGGGGGAACGAGAGAATGGAGTTTATGGGATGATTCATCACACATTTGAGCAAAAAGTTTCTCGCAAATGGTCTTTCTCCGCAGGAACAGTAACACCACCCCAGCACGTACCAACGCATCTTCATATTTGAGATCAGGAAAGATTATACGAAGGGCTCTCCGTTGAATACTCTCGATCTCGTCGCTCAAATATTGCGCCAAGCTATAGTGCCATGCCTCGCACGAAAATTCTAAGATTGGTCGAACGCCGGTAGTAAAAACCCGGACTAACTTGCTCGCT